TTCCTCTCTCTCTCTCTCTCTCTCTCTCTCTCTCCATTCTGCTATTGCAGCGTTCCCTGGTATCTAATACTAATTGACACTATCTTTTGATTTCTAATAATGAATACTCCTAAAGATCCTGTCATCAATACGATCAATAATATTGCATTGGATATATTCTAGGCCTAGATTTCGTGATTGTCAATGTTGAGATCTAGATCTAGATCTAGATTTAGTAGATCGTGAGCCTATGCACCCGGTACACTCGATTTATCCTCTGATCTTATCACTCGTTACCGAAGTGAGGCTATTTTTTAATCTAATGTTTTCCTTTTAAAATAATTTAGATCTAGATAAATTATTGAAATGCGTTGATCAATACTTTAGTTTGGTAGATAGATCTATATAATTATTTATCCTAGAGTAGGATTAAAGAACGCTTTCATATTCTACTCTATCCAACAAGCACAGGGCCACGCCACCGGGGCTCAGTCACACGCTCGCTGGGGGCGTGGCCTATTTTACGCGTGCTACGTTTTTTTTTACAGAGGGAAAGAGGGAGCTGCAGCATCTTACCGTAGGCTGTACTATCTTTGATTACTCTAACCGATGGATAAGGGACAACTACCCTCCTGAACAAAACCTTCAACAGCTCTTCGGCTACCTCGTCCAGGAGTGGCAAAACCTACTGCAACAAGTTCTCCGAGGGCATGTCCGAGGGCTGTACCGAGTGTTTGGTCAAACGGGGTGGCTACACCCACGATTGACAATGTTCATGAAAAACTATGGGTGTTCAGACTTTTGAAGTCCTACCAGTGAGACTTAAACTCATTTTACATGAACTTCTGTGGTTGTTGAAATATGAAATTGTACACACTTAATCTAGAGAGTCGAAAGCATCTTTTTTGAAAAGATGGATACTTTAGGTTAAACTGTTTTTGGTTATCTTTCTTTGAATTTTTGTTCCTTGACTTTTTAAAGCGAGTTTAGTTCAAGCTGGACTAAAAAAAGACCAACTTGAAACAACAGCATTGAAACCAACAACAGCAATAGAAAAAAACAACTCAACCGATCTCAAGAACAACAACGATAACAACAATAAACCACCACAACCACCACCACCAACAACAGCAGCAACAACCACAATATTAAGACATTCAACTACAGCAACAGCAAAACCAAACAAAATGTCACTTTATTTCAGTATTGTGGTGCTCTCTGATGTCTAGACTTTTAATATATTTTTTTTTCAACCCAGATCCATTTGGTTGCCATGGATTCATCACAATGTCTTCCAACAGCGAGTTTGAAATCGGTCTACAATCCATGAGCACAGATCTGGAGATTTTCATTGACGAACGTTGTTGTAAGTGTAAAGACAAGACATTGGCTTTGCTATTCCTTTGTTCGTGTGCTTTTGTGTTTGTTTGTGTGTGCGCGCGCGTATGAGTGTGTGTGTGTGTGTGTATGTGTGTTTGTGTGTGTGTGTGTATGTGTGTGGGTGTGTGTGTGTGTGTGTTTGTGTGTGTGTGAGTGGGGGGG